GGGGGAGATTCGTTTCGTTTCATTTTGCTGAACGAGACTCAAAGGTCCGAGTCGGACTCGGTCAAATGATCCGAACTTCCCATCACTACCCGCTAGTTAGCTTTACAGCCTGAGCTGTATTAGCATTGGGCCTGCGTGACTCGTATATAAGGGTTCTGTTGTGTTTTTATTAACCATTACATCCTCACATCTCGCCGTGTTTATTTCCGCTTACCTCCCCCGCGTTGGTGGTGGCGGTGCTGGAAGTGGACGCCGCGCTGGGAGTGGGCGAGCGCTGCAGGGTTACCAGAGCCATGGATGGAAATCTCCCAGCACCACGGCCGGTCTATCTGACACAAGCTAAACCGACTAGCGGGTTGCCCCTAGCAGCAGCGCCAGATATACGGGGACTGCGCTGCGACTCCACGCGCTCGATGGGACCGCAGTTAAAAGGCCATGGCTGGGCGTTTTTTGTGTCGCTGGATGATGTTTTGGTGCTTCTCACTCTCTCACTCACTGCCGCATGTGGCTGCCTTCAGCTCACACAACCTGTAGTGTTGTCTCAGTTGTGAATGAATCGGTGTTTTTGAATGAATCTCGTAAGTGAACGATTCACTTCCATATTGTTCGGCCAACGAGTCCCTCCCTTTGAAAGCGCGTTGACTCTTTTTCTGCCTTCAAAGACTGACAGTAGTATGGACCAATAGTATTCGAGTACGAGCGGTGTAGGCGCTTATCATTGGTTGAGCTTACCGAACAAACACGCCCTTCACCGAACGAGTCAGTGTTTTGAATCTGAACGAGGCATTTCCTTGGGCTTTTGAATGAACTCTGTTGCATCCATAAAATGCAACCTTTTTGTTCTGACAGTGTATGATTTCTATTAACATTACAGAATAGAACATGATCAATATTATCTTCCGACGTTCAATTTAAATAACTGTAATTGCGCAAACTATGTAGGCTTCAATTTCAGTTTGTTTATTGTGAAATAACTCTGTCTTCTGATAAGCATTGTTCAGGGCTGCCGTTCCCAAAAGCTTTAATGCTTTCTTATGATACTTTTGGGAAACACAGCCCTGTTTGAATGCACTTTTAGAAGTGAGTGAACGCTCTCTGTGATGGATTGGTTCTGTCTTGCAACATTTGCATGTGTTCAGATGAGCAGGAAAATAATTCTATCCTACACAATTACTTGCGAACAAAGGTTATTCGTCCAATTCAATGCAGTTGTACGCATTTTTTTGTTGTTAAATTAACCAAATCACTGGTAAATAAAACACACCTTAGTATCAATATTTTTTGTTTGAGTATCGATACTTTCGATACTCGCGTCAGTATCGATATATCGATACTTTGGATCGATACGCCCATCCCTACTGGGAATCTAGTACCTCTTGTATGTGGTAAAGTGAAGCTCGGTTTATTTAGGCTGCTGCTCCCATTGTTGTTTTTTATAGGCCATGCCAAGCATGTGACCAAATTAATGTAGATGATGTAGATCTCCAACTGTGCAAAAACGCCTAGATTGTTTCTGAATTTTTGATTTGAAGAAGTCATGCTGTCGCGGTCGAAAAACGAATCGGTTGAATGGTTAATTCAATAACTTCAGTGACTCAATGTCGCACATAAAGACACTTGTCGCCACCTACTGGCATCAGACAGACCCTTCTCGGGCTACTGGACCAATCTGAACGTTTTTTTTTGTCTCTGAACGGAGATTCAAAAGACACAAGCACTGAATCAACTGAACTCAATCAAAATACCCACCACTAATAAGAATAAAATCCACTCAAGCAAAACATCGGGGTGGTAGAATAGTCATTTTAGGTGTCATGGTGTTGTGTATATTTGTATAGTGTTGTTAATTACCCATTTTTATAAGTTAACATTACATATTAATACTACTGATCATTTTGACCAAATATAAATTTTCCAGAGTTGCTCTGCGAATGAATTAGGCTAAATATATTTGCTCAAGTGAAACTTTTACAGACCTCAAGAGGCCACATTCTAATCCGGTGGACTTTACCCCATCATCAAGCTTTGTGTGAACGAATGAATAGACTCAGGCACTTGTTGATTACTTTATGGGAGTTAGGTAATAAAGAATTAGTTAAACAGTAAATTCTGTTTTCTGCCTAAATCCATCTGTGATTGCATAGCACACGGTAGTGTATACAAGAGAGAGTGAAGAATAGCTTCCAGGATTGGAGATAACGTCTGGTCAATTTATAATTCCGGTGTGTGAAACTGTGTTTCTTTAATAAATTCTTTCCAGCTTTGTAATCCAGTACATGCAGTGTATTACCTGTTAAACCGTAAAAAGCTTACATGAAGGTGAACAACAAGGAAAACTAAAATAATGTCTTTCATGTTTGCATATAGGCCTACAGTATGTAATATTTGGCTGTGCAGATTTCTCTGAAATACACATGCACGTTTTTGCAAAAATAATTTTCATTAATATCAAGTCAGCTGCACGAATAAACACGTGGCAGCATTGTCTGGTGATATTTATAACAGAAAGGGCTACATTTTATTTACACAGCAGAGTAAAGCAGAAATCCATTTTAGAAATAAAAAGAACTGCTGATAAAAAAATATTTTAAAAAAGCCTGTGGGGTTGTACAAAGTACTTTCCCACATATACAAACCTAATTTTGTTTTCATATCTGCAAATAGATTTACTAAAGCCACATTTGCATGTTTATGGCACTTTTTTTCTGCAGACATGAGGGTGTGCATCATTGGAGCAGGGGTCATCGGCCTCTCCACCGCTCAGAGCATCTACCAGCACTTTCACAGCAGGATCAGCCCCCTCACCATAGAGGTGTATGCTGATGTCTTCACTCCACTCACCACCAGCGACGGGGCAGCTGGACTCTGGCAGCCGTATCTCTACGACAAGGGCAATGTGCAAGAAACGTGAGCTTTCATTTGTGTCAAAGTGTCTGAATCTAAAAGTGTCAGTGAATCGGTTGAAGCACATCCTCATGTTTAATCATCTATAATCAATAGCAGCAAGTAAAAATTTTTATTTCCTTTTCTCAGTAAATGGAACAAAGAGACGTTTGACTATCTACAAAGTTGCCTCAGCTCGCCAGATTCAGTGAAAATGGGAATCTTCCTTCAGTCTGGCTACAATCTGTGCTCTGAAACTGCACCAGTGGTATTTTAGGTATATTTTGTAGCTGTCTCTCTGCTCCCCTCAAACAGGACCCCTCATTTAAAGATGCGGTGTTGGGTTTTCGCCAGCTGACTAAACGTGAACTAGACATGTTCCCGGGATACAGGTACTTATCAACTTTGTTTATTTCGATAATTGATTTAAACTGATATCGCTGACATTGTTTTTGAAGTCAAAGTCCTGTTCAAGACATGGAGTAATATTCAGTTTAATTGGACATTCAAATTGAAACAGGGCAGACCTATGTATTATATTATATATTTCAGCTCAATCTGAATGTAATGGATCTCAGTGTCATATCTACATCTCCATTTCCACTTTCCCTAGTTTTGGGTGGTTCAACACCACTCTCATGATTGAAGGAAAGACATACCTGCCCTGGCTTATGGACTGGTGAGAGATCTTAGATCTTCTCAGTAGCATAAACTAGGATGAAGCTGCATGCTGTATGCATATTTGTAAAGATATACATACTATGTATGTATGTATGTGTGTATATATATATACAGTACATAATTTCTACAATATATGTAAATGTGCATATATTATTTTTTATTATACTTTAATAGAGTTTTCAAATAAAAGATAACATAACCGAATCATAACAGAGCTGAATTGTCAACATGCTATTCAGATAATGTACAATAAATAATCAGATGCTAGCATGATTTATTTATGATTGATCTAATGTTTTTTCAATTAAGCTTTATTATTATCATGCACATGGACATCACTGTAGTGGCAAGGGATCCTGCTCTTTGACTGTCTGAACACTAGACTTTTTCAGGTATCTTCTACTTCATATAATGCACCTATCAAATCATGTTCCAGTATACATTGTATATATGAAGGCAGTATATAAAAATAGTATATAAACCGTTATATTTAATATGTGAATTTTTTTTAGATGAAAATAAATCTGCACAACCTGTGATTCAATTGAACCCATTAATCAATTTAAACATGTGCTTGAGCAGTTTTAAAAAAAAAAAAAGGTACATAAGCAATGTATAAACAGTTTTATAAATAATAAATAAATACATTTGCATTTTTATAAATATATAAAAATTACACCAAGACCTGAAAAATACAATCTGATACATACATGTACAACCTGAGGGCAATAATTATTCTGTATAATTTATTACTTATTATTAAATACACAAATGTTTCTGGGACAAATGACTCACAAAAGATTTGTTTCCACCTGCTGGAGTAATGATGTAACACAAATATATAAACAAATCTTTCTAGTGAACAAATAAAAACGCCCTGAATTGGGAATAGCATACTACTTTTACTATTTCTACATAGTTATATTATTTGGAACAACAATAACATTATTGGTTGATAAAAATATACTGTTAGTGAGTCAGCTCTTAGGTCAGTGATCTCGAACTCAATTGTTGGATGGCCCCAGCTCTGCAGAGTTTAGCTCCAGCCAGCCCCAACTTACACCTTCTTGGAAGTTTCAAGTAATCTTGAAGAGTTTGATCAGCTGCATCATGTGTGTTTGATTAGGGTTGGAGCAAAATTGTGCAGACCTGTACGTGGCTCTCCAGGAATTGAGTTTGAGACCACTGTCTTAGATCAGGGGTCACCAAACTCAGTCCTGGAGGGCCACTGTCCTGCAGAGTTTAGCTTCAACTTGCCTCAACACACCTGCCTGGAAGTTTCAAGTATACCAAGTCAGACCTTGATTAGCTGGTTCAGGTGGGTTTAATTAACTCTGCAGGACACTGGCCCTCCAGGACCGAGTTTGGTGACCCTTGTCTTAGATGATAGTAGTGACTATAACCTTTGATATGCTTGATTATAAGGGATCAACTGGAGTTTGTTTTATTTATTATATATAACAAACAAGTCGGATGTATTATTCTGGTAGTTCTGACCTGCATCATAAATTACTTTATCAAAAATAGTAAGACTAGTATTGAGAATCCAGCCCATACTGAGCCTTTACTGAATAACACACGAATAGCGCCACCTCAACGTCTCAGCTGACATTACGTAACATGGGGAAAAAGTTAATTTGTAAGTTAGTTTTGCACTCTGTCGTTGCACTGTTCTTGCAAGAGATAAGATAAGGACGTGTTTAGGACAACGTCTATCTCTTTTTTGGAGGTAACAAGAGAAAAAAGTGTGGTGAGTAAAGTTGTCCTTTTATAAAATGTGAAGTATATCTTGAATGCAGTGTAATGCAACATGCCACATTCATATATGTAAAAGTGGATTATTTGTGGACAGTGTGGACAGCTTGACATTACATGCAGGGCATTAACTATTAAGTTACAATTGAGAAGGATTCAACTAATAAAAACAACTCGAGCTCTATAACCTTGTTAGTTGTCATTATAAATTTTAACTTTGAAATTGTATCTCTTTGGAGTTTTTATGGACATAAGACTTAATAAAACAAATTAAGCCTTTCTCATGACAATGCAAACATATGGCAGCATTATGTATTCACTGGTGGATGATTCAGAATACACAGGTTTGTATTGAAAAATTTCTCCAATCAGTTTACAACGACATGAGGGTGTGCATCATTGGAGCGGGGGTCATCGGCCTCTCCACCGCTCAGAGCATCTACCAGCACTTTCACAGCAGGATCAGCCCCCTCACCATAGAGGTGTATGCTGATGTCTTCACTCCACTCACCACCAGCGACGGGGCAGCTGGACTCTGGCAGCCGTATCTCTACGACAAGGGCAACGTGCAAGAAACGTGAGCTTTCATTTGTGTCAAAGTGTCTGAATCTAAAAGTGTCAGTGAATCGGTTGAAGCACATCCTCATGTTTAATCATCCTCTATAATCTATAGCAGCAAGTAAAATGTTTTATTTCCTTTTCTCAGTAAGTGGAACAAAGAGACGTTTGACTATCTACAAAGTTGCCTCAGCTCGCCAGATTCAGTGAAAATGGGAATCTTCCTTCAGTCTGGCTACAATCTGTGCTCTGAAACTGCACCAGTGAGAACACTGTAATTTCCTTCATAAAAATACTTTATATTTAAAATACATGGTTGACGTGGCATTTCATTGAACAATGCTATATTTTAGGTATATTTTGTAGCTGTCTCTCTGCTCCCCTCAAACAGGACCCCTCATTTAAAGATGCGGTGTTGGGTTTTCGCCAGCTGACTAAACGTGAACTAGACATGTTCCCGGGATACAGGTACTTATCAACTTTGTTTCTTTCGATAATTGATTTAAACTGATATCGCTGACATTGTTTTTGAAGTCAAAGTCCTGTAACCGAGCCTTTACTGAATAACACACGAATAGCGCCACCTCAACGTCACAGCTGACGTTACGTAACGTGGGAAAAAGTTAATTTGTAAGTTTCTTGCAAGAGATAAGATAAGGACGTGTTTAGGACAACGTCGATCTCTTTTTTTGGAGGTAACAATACAAAAAAGTGTGGTGAGTAAAGCTGTCCTTTTATAAAATATTTAGTATATCTTGAATGCAGTGTAATGCAACTCTGCCACATGCATAAATGTAAAAGTGTGGATTATTTCCAGCTTGACATTACATGCAAGGCATTAACTATTAAGTTACAATTGAGAAGGATTCAACTAATAAAAACAACTCGAGCTCTATAACCTTGTTAGTTGTCATTATAAATTTTAACTTTGAAATTGTGTCTATTTGGAGTTTTTATGGACATAAGACTTAATAAAACAAATTAAGCCTTTCTCATGACAATGCAAACATATGGAAGTATTATGTATTCACTGGTGGATGATTCAGAATACACAGGTTTGTATTGAACATTTTCTCCAATCAGTTTACAACATTACAATACAGGTGCATCTCAATATATTAGAATGTCGTGGAAAAGTTCATTTATTTCAGTAATTCAACTCAAATTGTGAAACTCGTGTATTAAATAAATTCAATGCACACAGGCTGAAGTAGTTTAAGTCTTTGGTTCTTTTAATTGTGATGATTTTGGCTCACATTTAACAAAAACCCACCAATTCACTATCTCAACAAATTAGAATACTTCATAAGACCAATAAAAAAAATGTTTTT